CTTTCCTGAGTTCTATACGTGGCAAGCACATGGCAAAGTTTGGCAAAATAGGGTACGTCATGATACATTACGATAGATTGGAAGAATAGTATCTACCAATCCAGTCGAGGGGGAGCGTTACTATCTTAGGATTCCCCTGAACCACGTGGCAGGTGCAACCTCATTTGAGTGTCTAAGGACCGTGGATGGCAAAATCCTACCGACCTTCCATAAAGCTACAGAAAGAAGGGGCTTAATCGAAGAGGACAACACGCTGAACGAGAGTCTCGTAGAGGCAATCAGGTGGATGATGCCATATGCGCTGCGAAGGCTCTTTGCAACAATATTGGTATTTTGTGAGCCCGGTGATGTGTTTGGACTATGGGAGAAACACAAGGAGACAATGTTAGAGGACTACAAGCGCAATAATCAATCCACCTTCATGGTGGAGCAAATGGTCCTCATGGATATTAAAAAATTGCTACAATCAATGCTGAAGGATATAAAGATGTACCCACTTCCTAATATCGACGACACATATGATGCCTCTTGTGATATTCCTAGAGAGATTTTTGAGGAGGCTAGCATTGAGGCTAACGAGGATGATGTAGCTCTGTCAAACACCTTTAACAAGGAGCAGCGGGCTGCATACAATGAGATCATGTCCTCGATTGATACCGAGGACGGGGGTCTCTTCTTTGTGGATGGTCCTGGCGGGACCGGAAAGACTTATCTGTACAGAGCACTTCTCGCTACTATACGCAGTCAGAAAAAGATTGCAGTGGCAACAACTACATCTGGTGTTGCTGCCTCAATAATGCCTGGTGGCAGAACCACCCACTCGCGCTTCAAGATTCCCCTCACCATCGATAATGGGGCCTTTTGCACCTTCACGAAACAGAGTGGTATTGCCAAGCTACTTCGGGCCGCATCCCTTATTATTTGGGACGAGGTGATAATGATAAAGAGGCAAGGTGTTGAGGCACTAGACAACAACCTTCATGATATAATGGACTGACCAGAGTTGCCGTTTGGGGGAAAGATCGTGGTGTTCGGTGGAGATTGTAGACAAGTTCTTCCCGTTGTTCGGAGAGGGTCAAGGGCTCAGGTAGTTGGTGCCTCGCTGCGGATGTCGTACCTTTAGGATTCCATGCGGCATCTAAAACTGGTGCGCAACATGAGGGCAAAGAGCGACCCGTGGTTTGCAGAATACCTGTTGCGCATTGGTGGAGGTTCTGAGGAGGCGACTGTTGATGATGAAATCCGTCTTTCTCATGATATATGTGTTCCACACACTGGGGAAGATAGTGATCTTGATACTCTAATTGATTGCATATTTCCTAACCTCAATGCAAATATGTCAAGCAAAGATTATATCACCTCTCGAGCGATATTATCTACGCGGAATGAATGGGTTGATATGATTAATATGAAGATGATAGGTTATTTCTACGGGGATGAGATGGTGTACCATAGCTTTGACTATGCGGTGGACGATCCGCACAACTACTACCCTGAGGAATTCCTTAACACTTTGACACCCAATGGTCTACCTCCACATGTGTTGAAGCTGAAGATTGGTTATCCGGTCATATTGCTTAGGAACATTGACCCTGCGAACGGACTTTGTAATGGTACCAGGCTTATCATACGGGGGTTACAAAAGAATACCATAGACGTAGAAATTGTGTTGGGACAGCACGCTGAAAAACGGGGTTTTCTACCTCGAATACCCTTATACCCGTCGGACGATGAGATGTTCCCTTTCCAATTTAAGCGAAAGTAGTTTCCTATTCGGCTTAGCTTCGCAATGACGGTTAACAAGGCACAGGGGCAGACTATCCCTAACGTCGGGGTATACTTGCCGGAACCAGTGTTCTCTCATAGCCAATTGTATGTGGCGCTATCAAGAGTTACAGCAAGATCGAACATTAGGATCTTGGCTGTGCCAGCTGCTGAGAAGGACGTGAACATGGGAAAAGGAAAAGGGAAGGGGGAAAAAGAGACCGACAAAGGATATATTCACAAAGAATATTATATATAAAGAGGTTCTAACTCTATGAAAGAGGTAATGCATTACACGTCGATACATATTTTTTCAAGATATATCAATAGTACTTTAACTTTAAAAATTAGCAAACAACTTATGTGCAGGATACTTCTAACTATAGCTTCAACTATCAGCATGCTTCAGCTGCAAGAAGTTAGATGCCGCATCTTGGACTTGAAAATCTTCTGGATTATCTTTGATTGGTGACCAGCTGCAGCTTGGTGTTCGTGCAAAGCACGTTCTCTTGGTTGAAACATTGAGAGATTAGATTATTAATTGTACAATATATTATAAAAACATGTATCGTAAAATATAAACCTGTTATGATTAAGGTGAATGCTCATGTATTGCAACTTGTAAAACATCACGATTGCAGTATCTATTTTAGATACAGTATAATACATCCTCATACATATGTTATCGTGATATTATGTGTATCCGTTGCAGCGCTGGGGCATTTAACTAGTTTGAGAAGTGTATGTATACCACGGCATGGACGCATACACTTCTTCCATTGCATGTCAATCACACGTATGCATGCATGCACGGCATAGTAACGTGTTAACTTCTTTCTTTTCCAGCACACGTAAATAAACGTGCGCACTGGCACTATGTATTAGCTCATCACAGCCCAATGCAACTTGATTCATGTTTTTCCTTTCACTATTATTTTCAGTAGTGCGTATAGATGTACATGCATACTAGTGAGATTTTGTACAAAATCTCGTCAAACACGGAGCTGCTCGCGAAGTCAGGCTGCTGGGCCGCTCTTGGCGAGTCCCGGCGCGGGCCGCGGAGCGCGGGGCGGTCCCAGCTTCAGCCCCTTGCGGCGCGGTGCGACGCCCGCCCTCGGCGTGGCTCGTTCGCCTGCTGCACCTCCGCTACGCTCTTCCGTTCCGGAGAGTGGGAGGCGGCCCGGGCAGGGACCGGCGGCAACCACCTTGCGGCGCGGTGCGACGGCTGCCCTCGGAGTGGCTTGCGTCCGCGTTCGCTTGCTGCACCTCCGCTCCGGCGAGTGGGTGGAGGCCGGGGCAGGGAACGGCGGCAGCCACCTCTGAGCCGTTCATGGCGGAGGCGTGCAGGACACGGACCCGGCGCTTGCGCGCGCTGTGGAGGCGCAGGTGGCGCACCTGGGCGAGTGCGGCGCTCCTCTCTCTCTCCTCCACGCCCTACAGGCGTTCGCTGCGCGTTCGCGACCCGCTTCGGCTTGGGCGAGGTAGCAGCAGCGCTGTCCATGGTGAGCCTCGCCCCGGCGCGGACATGGCCACGGTTGAGGCTGCCGCGGAGGACTTCGACTTCGCCCGCGCGGTTTCGATCCGGGAGGCCCGCCGCCTTCTGCGGGAGTTGCGCGTGTCGCTGTCCTGGGACCAGCAGACCCAGGCGCTGGTGGCCAAGCTGCGAGACGCCGTGGCGGTGCTGCGGTGCTGAGCTGCGGGACGCCCGTTGGTGTAAGCCAGCTGCACGGTGAAGGCATAGGAGCTGCTGACGTTGCTGGTGAAGCAGGAGAAGTAGCAGGTTTGAATTCAAAGTGCAGGCGGGAACGGTTATGCACGGCGACGCCTGCACTTTGAATAGTCTAGCTATGCTAAAAAAGTATTGAGTCAGTTTGGTATGGAGGATTGCAATCCTACCAAGATCCCAATGGATCCAAGAGCTAAACTAGATGAAGATAAGGGTGGAGAAAGAGTTGATGCCACTGAGTACATGAGGGTCGTTGGTTGTTTGAGATATTTGTTGCATACCAGGCCTGATCTGTCTTTCTCAGTTCGGATGGCCAGTAGGTACATGGAGAAGTCTACTGTGAAGCATCAAAGAGCAGTAAAGCAGATACTGAGATATTTAAAGGGAACTGTGAATCTTGGGTTGGTGTATACTCAAGGTGGAAAGGAGGAAGAAATAGTGGGATACACTGATAGTGATTTGGCTGGTGATCTAGTTGGGAGAAGAAGCACAGCAGGTATAGCTTTTTATCTGAATGAGAGCCTGATTACATGGTGTTCTCAGAAGGAAAAGACTGAAGCTTTGTCATCCTGTGAGGCAGAGTTCATGGCAGCAACAGCAGCAGCAAAGGAAGCCTTGTGGCTTAGGAGTTTATTGAGTGAACTTACTGCCAAGAAGCCAAAGTTAGTGACATTGTTTGTTGACAACAATTCAGCTATTGCTTTGATGAAGAATCCAGTGTTTCATGGAAGGAGTAAACATATTGATATTAAATATCACTTCATCAGAGAATGTGTTGAAAGAAAGCAGATTGCAGTGAAGAGAGTTTGTACTGCAAAGGAGAAGGCTGACACTCTGACAAAGGCCTTGCCGGCTATGATGTTGGGTGTGATGAATCATTTGCTCGGGATCCGAAGGCTTGACATGCATCAGGCTTTAGGGGGGAGCATGTTGGTGTAAGCCAGCTGCACGGTGAAGGCATAGGAGCTGCTGACGTTGCTGGTGATGCAGGAGAAGTAGCAGGTTTGAATTCAAAGTGCAGGAAGGAATGGTTATGCAGGGCAATGCGGTGAGCGCGCCCACGTCGTGCGCAGACAGTGCAGTTGCATTGTAGGCCACTTGTATCCATCGTTTAGCAGTTTTATTTGAAACAAGTATGTAAAAGTTGTTGGTATAAGTAGCTCTCATGTAATAGAGTGTGTTAGTGCTTTGGCTCACTTGTAATGGCGTCTGTACTGAAAATCTCTATCAGTGGAAAAGAGCATTGTCCTCTGACAGTTGTTATTCATCTCTTTGTGTTCTTGAGCGTGTTCTTGTGTTTAGGCTAGCCAATTTGATCTATGTGCTGTGATTTGTGTTCCTGATTTCCTACATTTGGTATCAGAGCCTCTAATCACATGCATCTACTTGCTTGATCCACGTCATGGGTGATCGGAGTAGTGGCGCAGGCGGCGGCGGCGGTGACCGGGTCACATATCCGTCACTCACTGCAACCAACTACACTAGTTGGAGCATTCATGTCTAGGCGATCATGGAGGACCAAGGAGTATGGGAGATCATGGAGCCGTCGGAGCAGGGAGCAACAGCGGTTGCAGCGGCGGCGGCGAAAGACAGGAAGGCAAAGGCGCACTTGCTGCAGTGTCTCCCCGATGACCTGCTGAGGCAAGTGGCCAGGAAGAAGACATGCAAGGAGGTGTGGGATTCTCTGAAGGCGAGGTTTGTCGAGGCGGATCGGGTCAAGGAGGCGCGGTTACAGACTCTGAAGAGCGAGTTCGACGCGGTGCGGATGAAGGAAGAAGAATCGCTCGATCAGTATGTCGGGAGATTGACGGCGATGTCAGTCAAGTACAGCAACCTTGGCGGCACGTTGGATGACGTGGCGCTGGTGAAAAAGTTGTTTTACACCGTGCCAGAGAGGTTCATCATCGTGATCATCGGGATCGAGCAGTTTTATGTTCTGAAGAAACTGTCGTTCGAGGAAGCTGTAGGCCGACTGAAGGCGTTCGAGGAGCATACCAAGCGGGGAGGTGGGGGAGTGCGCGGGAAACTGTTGCTCACTCAGTCTGAGTGGGAAGCACGCCAGAAGAAGTCGGTGGGAGAAGGTTCTGGAGGCAGGACAGTGGAGGACGCAGTCAGGGAAGAGGTCGTGGCGGGCACGGCGGGCAAGTTGATGCGGCGAAGGAGAGCATGGGAAAGCGTGACAAGAGTCACATAAAGTGCTTCGAGTGCCACAAGTACGGCCACTACGCAAACCGGTGCCCGGAGGAGAAGAAGGAGGTGGAGGCGCACCATGCCAGAGCGGTGGAGATAGAGCCGTCAGTGCTGCTCGCGGAAACAGTTGAACTAGGACCGCTTGAGCGCACGCCGCAAAAGAGTCTCTATTAAGAGGTGTATCTAGAGGAGATTAAGGAGACGTCGGAGCTTCACTTCACCGGTGAGGAGGAGCCCACGAACAATGTCTGGTACCTAGACAATGGCACCAGCAACCACATGATTGGGGATCGACTGAAGTTCAGGGACATCGATCAAGCTGTCTCTGGAAAGGTACGGTTTGGTGATTGTTCTTCCATTGAAATAATGGGGAAGGGTTCAATCTTGTTTCAAGGGAGAACGGGTGATCAATGGTTATTACGTGATGTTTATTTTATTCCTAAGCTTAAGAATAACTTGATCAGTTTTAGAAAATTAACTGAAATTGGACACCACATTGTTATGGATGATGATGAGATTGTGGTGTCAGAGAAGGATCCATGCAGGTTGATCATGAGAGTTCAGAGAACTGTTAGTCATTTGTACAAGAATGAGTTGGTACCAGTGAAGCCAGTTTGCTTCCTAACCAGTATTGCAGATGAGGCATGGTTATGGCATGGTCGGTTTGGCCATGTGAATTTTCAGGCTATGAAGAAATTGGTTGACAAGGAGATGGTAGGAGGTGTACCACTGATACAGCATTCAGATCAGGTTTGTCAGGTATGTTTGGCAGCCAAACAGACTAGGATGCCATTCCCTCATTCAGCATTGTGGAGGGCAGATGAGCCACTTTAGCTTGTACATGTTGATTTGTGTGGGCCCATTTCACCACCTACTGCAGGAGGCAACAAGCATTTCATGCTGTTGGTGGATGACTGCACCAGGTGGACTCAGGTGTACATGCTGAAGACCAAAGATCAAGCTGTAGAAGCTTTTGTCAAGTATAAGGCCAAAGTTGAGAATAGCTCTGGACAGCACATCAAAATTCTCAGGTCAGATAGAGGGGGTGAGTTTCTTGCTAGAGTGTTTCAGAGTGTGTGTGAACAGGTTGGCATTAAGCATCAGTTCACAGCACCCTACACACCTCAACAGAATAGGGTGGTAGAAAGGAAGAATAGAACATTGATGGAGATGGCAAGGGCTTTGTTGAAAAGCATGGAAATTCCAGGGAGGTTTTGGGCTAAGGCAGTGTTGTTGAATAGACTGCCTACCAAAGCTATGGGTGATAGGACACCATATGAGGGTCGGAATGGAAGGAAACCCAATCTGAGTCACTTGAGAGTTTTTGGGTGCAAGGGGCATGTGAAGACAGTGAGGCCATATTTAAAAAAGCTTGAAGACAGGAGTATGCCAATGGTGTATCTTGGCATAAAAGAAGGTAGCAAAGCACACAGGATGTACAACCCTTAAGACAACAAAATAGTGGTCAATAGGGATGTTGTGTTTGAGGAGTCATAGAAGTGGGGCTGGGAAACTACAGAAGAAAGGGATTTTTCAGAAAATAGAGAAGAAGAGGATGGTCAATTCTTTTCTGGTGGCTTTGGTACTGTGGTTGCTGGTGGTGGTGCTCAGGATGTTCATCAGTATGGTGATCAGGGGGGAGCATCAATAGGAGATCACAGTTCTATAGATAGGGATGGCTCAGCGTCAGTAGAAACTTGGAGCCAGTTAGTGACTGTTCACAGTCCGACAATAGATGCAGATAGTGTGTCTCCAGGAATTTCAGCACACAGTTATGATGGGGATCATGGGATGATGGATGTAGACAATAGTGATGATTATGATGAGACCCCACAGAGGTTCAGAAGCCTGAATGAAGTTTATCAAGATTCAGAAGAAGTGGAGCTAAACTCAGACACTAAAGTTGCAGTTTTGATTGTAGTTATGGAAGAACCATCAAGCTTTGAGGAAGCAGCAAGTGATGCAGACTGGATGGCAGCAATGAGCACTGAAATTCAGTCCATTTGCAAGAACAGAACTTGGGAGTTGTCCACTTTGCCACCTGGACAGCAAGCTCAAAAGGAACTTTGATGGAGAGGTGGTGAAGCACAAGGCTAGGCTGGTGGCCAAAGGGTATGTGCAAAAGCAAGGAGTTGATTTTGAGGAAGTGTTTGCACCAGTTGCAAGATTATATACAATCAGATTGATCCTAGCAATGGCAGCAAACAGGGGCTGGCAGGTTCATCACTTGGATGTAAAGTCAGCTTTTCTCAATGGTGAATTGGAAGAAGAGGTATATGTTGCACAACCAGAAGGTTTTGTGGTGAAGGTCAAGGAACACATGGTTCTGAAACTTAGCAAAGCTTTGTATGGGTTGAGATAGGCACCTAGAGCTTGGAATGTCAAACTGGATAGAAGTTTGAAAAAATTGCAGTTTAGCAAATGCTAGTGAACCAGCAGTGTACACTAGAGGAATTGGGAGGAAGACAGTAATACTTGGGGTATATGTTGATGACTTGATAGTGATAGGAGAGGATTATGTAGAGATTTATGTGTTTAAGAAACAGATGACCTCAGAGTTTGAGATGAGTGATTTGGGGCTACATTCATTCTATCTTGGGATTGAGGTTGATCAGCAGAAAGATTTTGTCACACTCAAATAGTCTAGCTATGCCAAAAAAGTATTGAGTCAGTTTGGTATGGAGGATTGCAATCCTACCAAGATCCCAATGGATCCAAGAGCTAAACTAGATGAAGATAAGGGTGGAGAAAGAGTTGATGCCACTGAGTACATGAGGGTCGTTGGTTGTTTGAGATATTTGTTGCATACCAGGCCTGATCTGTCTTTCTCAGTTCGGATGGCCAGTAGGTACATGGAGAAGTCTACTGTGAAGCATCAAAGAGCAGTAAAGCAGATACTGAGATATTTAAAGGGAACTGTGAATCTTGGGTTGGTGTATACTCAAGGTGGAAAGGAGGAAGAAATAGTGGGATACACTGATAGTGATTTGGCTGGTGATCTAGTTGGGAGAAGAAGCACAGCAGGTATAGCTTTTTATCTGAATGAGAGCCTGATTACATGGTGTTCTCAGAAGGAAAAGACTGAAGCTTTGTCATCCTGTGAGGCAGAGTTCATGGCAGCAACAGCAGCAGCAAAGGAAGCCTTGTGGCTTAGGAGTTTATTGAGTGAACTTACTGCCAAGAAGCCAAAGTTAGTGACATTGTTTGTTGACAACAATTCAGCTATTGCTTTGATGAAGAATCCAGTGTTTCATGGAAGGAGTAAACATATTGATATTAAATATCACTTCATCAGATAATGTGTTGAAAGAAAGCAGATTGCAGTGAAGAGAGTTTGTACTGCAAAGCAGAAGGCTAACACTCTGACAAAGGCCTTGCCGGCTGTGATGTTGGGTGTGATGAATCATTTGCTCGGGATCCAAAGGCTTGACATGCATCAGGCTTTAGGGGGGAGCATGTTGGTGTAAGCCAGCTGCACGGTGAAGGCATAGGAGCTACTGACGTTGCTGGTGAAGCAGGAGAAGTAGCAGGTTTGAATTCAAAGTGCAGGAAGGAATGGTTATGCAGGGCGATGCGGTGAGCGCGCCCACGTCGTGCGCAGACAGTGCAGTTGCATTGTAGGCCACTTGTATCCATCGTTTAGCAGTTTTATTTGAAACAAGTGTGTGTAAAAGTTGTTGGTATAAGTAGATCTCATGTAATAGAGTGTGTTAGCACTTTGGCTCACTTGTAATAGTGTCTGTACTGAAAATCTCTATCAGTGGAAAAGAGCACTGTCCTCTGATAGTTGTTGTTCGTCTCTTTGTGTTCTTGAGCGCGTTCTTGTGTTTAGGCTAGCCAATTTGATCTATGTGCTGTGATTTGTGTTCCTGATTTCCTACATTTGGTATCAGAGCCTCTAATCACATGCATCTACTTGCTTGATCCACGTCATGGGTGATCGGAGTAGTGGCGCAGGCGGCGGCGGCGGTGACCGGGTCACATATCCGTCACTCACTGCAACCAACTACACTAGTTGGAGCATTCATGTCTAGGCGATCATGGAGGACCAAGGAGTATGGGAGATCATGGAGCCGTCGGAGCAGGGAGCAACAGCGGTTGCAGCGGCGGCGGCGAAAGACAGGAAGGCAAAGGCGCACTTGCTGCAGTGTCTCCCCGATGACCTGCTGAGGCAAGTGGCCAGGAAGAAGACATGCAAGGAGGTGTGGGATTCTCTGAAGGCGAGGTTTGTCGAGGCGGATCGGGTCAAGGAGGCGCGGTTACAGACTCTGAAGAGCGAGTTCGACGCGGTGCGGATGAAGGAAGAAGAATCGCTCGATCAGTATGTCGGGAGATTGACGGCGATGTCAGTCAAGTACAGCAACCTTGGCGGCACGTTGGATGACGTGGCGCTGGTGAAAAAGTTGTTTTACACCGTGCCAGAGAGGTTCATCATCGTGATCATCGGGATCGAGCAGTTTTATGTTCTGAAGAAACTGTCGTTCGAGGAAGCTGTAGGCCGACTGAAGGCGTTCGAGGAGCATACCAAGCGGGGAGGTGGGGGAGTGCGCGGGAAACTGTTGCTCACTCAGTCTGAGTGGGAAGCACGCCAGAAGAAGTCGGTGGGAGAAGGTTCTGGAGGCAGGACAGTGGAGGACGCAGTCAGGGAAGAGGTCGTGGCGGGCACGGCGGGCAAGTTGATGCGGCGAAGGAGAGCATGGGAAAGCGTGACAAGAGTCACATAAAGTGCTTCGAGTGCCACAAGTACGGCCCACTCGCAAACCGGTGCCCGGAGGAGAAGAAGGAGGTGGGCGCACCATGCCAGAGGGTGGAGATAGAGCCGTCAGTCTTTGCTCGCGTGAAACAGCTTGAACTAGGACCGCTTGAGCGCACGCCGCAAAAGAGTCTCTATTAAGAGGTGTATCTAGAGGAGATTAAGGAGACGTCGGAGCTTCACTTCACCGGTGAGGAGGAGCCCACGAACAATGTCTGGTACCTAGACAATGGCACCAGCAACCACATGAT